GCCCCTGGCCCAGCAGCTCCTGCATCTGGTGTTGAATCATTTCCAGCTGATGCCTCATTTCTAAAAAAGCGCCGTAGGTAATCTCTGGCTCCCCACGTGCGTCCCTGTCCCATACGCTTGGGCCACTCCCTGGAGTAGCTAGGTCATCCCTCCTTCTCCAAGAACTACCCTCCTCACCGCTCCTTCTACCAGTGTTTCCCGCAACCCTATCACTGCCCTGTCTTCCCTGTGATGGTGGGGACTGTGAGGGTGAGGGAGTGGGCTGGCGTCCAGCAGGAGCCCTTCTTTGTGGGGGTGAATCATTGTTGCCACCTCTCCTGCCGGCTTCCTCCATTCGCTTCCGCGATTTTATGTGAAGAAACCTGCAGTTTTCATACGTGCAATCTTCTTTCTGCATAACACTCCAGCACAACTTAGGGTGATGGAACGCGCAGTCCCTTCCTTTTTTGCACCCTCGTGGGTGCCCGCTTCCGTAGGTACAAAATTTATGGCACAGTCTAGGATGTGAAAATCCTGTGATTGGTTTTATGGGTGAATTGAACTCGTTTAACGCGACGAACTGTTCTCTATTCGAGAGGTAAGACTGAATAAGTGAGAGGAAGGTCCCTCTAATACCATAACGGTGTAGCTTCCCTAAAAGAATTCGGTGATTCACACAATAAAAAGCCTTCTGTAGGTCCAGAAAAAGAGCGACACAGTAATCTTTTGAATGGTACGTCCTAAGAAGGTCTTGAACTAGATAAAATATAGCCATGGTTGTGTTGCTATCCTTACGGAAACCAATTGGTTTTCGGAAACCAATTGGTTTTTGGAAACCAAACTGGTTATTATTTCTAGATAGACTGTATTTAACAACAGTTTGGATGGGATATAAACGTTACGAATTCATATGTCATGCTTCGATTAAAATCGTTGCTTATAATGATGAAAGAAATATCACGCCATGCTTTTATATTTGCCATATTTGACGATTATTATTCAGGCAACTTCTTGTAAAATTGTAGTAAATTACATGCAAAATTTCTGCAAAAATGTTTCTGGCACAATTTTCTGTGAAAATTTTCAGAACTTTGATATTCGAAGAAATTTTATCCAGGCAGCTATACACGGTCCGCCATATTTATGACAACAGATATTTGCTATGAAAATACATTTGTTTATAGAAGGCTTTAATTTATTATAAAGCCTGATATCATCTATTAATTCATCTATTTTATATTGCCAAATTCTAAGGTGTATAAATTTAGTATTACTTATTGCAGTAAATAAAAATGCAGTTATAACCCTTCATAAAATGAGCGAGATTAATTTAGTCATTGCAAATAAGCTCCATATATGTCGTGAAACTGTGCGGAAAGTGGTCAAAAATATTTAAGGAAACTTGTGAAGCATGCAATCGACCTGGTCAATGGAGGAAACGAAGTATCCGAACAAAACAATTGGTCAAAAACACGAGGGAGAAGTTGAGGAGAAACCCTCGTCGCTCAGCTGTAAAATTGGCTGCAGAACAGGAGTCAGTCAGACATCAATGCGTAGAGTCCTCAAAGATGACCTCAAAACCTCCCCTTACAAGATGCAAACAAGGCATGAACTAACAGACCGTCATGAACGAATGAGGCTCGGAAGATGCCAGCACATTCTGGATCTCATTGAGAATGGCACGCTGCCCAACTTGGTGTTTAGTGAGGAGAAGAAATTTAACATTGAACAAAGCGTTAGTCGTCAAAATGACAGAGTTTGAAATAGGGATGGATCTGTGGCAACCAGAACAGTAATGCGACATCAAAATCCCATGTCCGTGATGGTTTGGGCCGTCGTAACAGCTGGGAGGTCTCCACTCGTTTTTGTCCCCTCAGGAGTGAAATTGAACTGTAAGCGATAAATTTCGGAGTTGTTATACCTTGGGGTCGTAAACACTTCAAAGGCTCACCATGGAGTTTTCAACAAGAATCTGCCCCATCACATGGTTCAAACATGACCCAAAACTGGATTCAGGGTCACATCCCAGCGTTCATTAGCAAAAATGAATGGCTCTCAAGAAGCCCTGATTTGGGCTATTTTAGAGAGGAGGGTCTGCAGAACATCTCATGACTCTTTGGATAGTTTGAAGTCTAAATTGAAACGAGAATGGGAAATGATCCCTCAAGGAATGCTGCGATTCTCTTGTGAAGCTTTCCATTGTAGGTTGGAGGCCGTCATTAAAAATAAAGGCGGTCATATTGAATAAATACGTATGAGAATTGTTTAGGTAGTTCTTGACTACATATATACATTAGCTCATCCCATAAGAAATTAATTCACCTGTTCATTGAGAAATAAAAATAACTGCGATGTCATAAATATGGTAGACCATGTGTATAAAATTTCTGTACATCGCATCAAAAACTTCTGAGGGCAAATTCACAAAATTGATTATTATGGCCATTAAAAAACCTTGTTTTCTATAATTCTGGATTGTCGGAAGCTTAACCTGGCCGCCGTGTAGGAAGCATCGAACGTTGGGAAGTTCAAAGACGCTAGGATCTTCACAACGGGAGGAGAAATCCTGAGGAAAACGTTCATTACGCTTAACTGCCTGAATTTAAACATGAAAATTCGTGCGGACAAAAAAGAATTATTGACTCATATATGAATTGTTGTATTTTATTAATATTATTATTATTTATTATTATTATTTTTATTATTATTATTTTCATTATTATTATATTATTTAGTACAAATATTTTTAAAGCCTCCAAAACGAGCAGTTTTAAAGGCAAAAAAGACAATGTTGACTCATATGTGTATTGTTATTTACCTTATGCCTGGTGCGAGCTAATGTCACCAAGAGAGATGCCACTGCCCATGCATGTGTGGGTGGAAGTATTGGAAGTAGCAGGAGAATCTCGCAGTATTGCTGGGGCGCTGAATACTTGTTGTTGAAGAAAGTATTGCTCCATTCAGATGCCATCAGCAGCAGCAACAACGCCTCTGAATGCTGCAAGGAAACACGCGAGTAAATGTATAAAATGATATAAGATGCGCTTCTGACTATGGTAATAGGTTCACGAATTCAGTAATTTGTAAAATAAATGATCACATTGGGAGGTATTTAATTTTTAAAAATTTTCTAAAAGATGAATTCCATTTAAAATTTTGTCAATTTTTGTGGTGGATAAAATCAGCATTCTGTATCCTTCCTAGCCCTGCAATGGCTACATTATTTTTTGTGAATGTTGTCGTTTTTGATGAATATGATGTCCTTTTGAATAGAAAACTACACATGAGATCTATGTGTGTCTACAAAATCAATTGACCAAATAATTCATGTATTTCTTGCAACGTGCAATCATTTAAATATCTTTTGGATGGGGGTTACCGGTACTATAGAAAAATACATGCCTGCCGAAAAAATTAATATCATTATAGTTCTAGGAAAACCATTTCTTAAGGAGACGCATGACGCTTGTATCGCATTTTTAATTGATATGAAAGCAATAATTTTTTATTATATATATCATTTACCCATGACCTGAAAAGACAACTATTAATCGTATTGTGATTTACACAAGGAAACACTGAGGAAAATTTTTAATTGTTTCAGAATATACATATCTTTTGCTGTTTATTTAATTCTTTCATATATTATGTATAATTTCTCATCATATTAAAAAACCTAAAAATTAATTTAATAATATTAATCAACAAATTAGGATATAATATCACTTACGATAATTAATTATCATTAAATCACTTAATGACGACCGATATAATTACGCGGAGTATCAAATTCATAAAATTTTTGAAAATATTGTAAATGAAATATTTCATTTGAAGCTATGAAAGTAGAAACTACAACGATATAACGGGAATAAAAACATAACAATTTACCTATTAAAATAAATTAAGTAATTTTGCACTCCAGCATTATTTGATCTTGGGTTAATATATGGCCTCCATTCGAGAGTTTTTAAGTCATTCGTTCTGAAATATATTCTAAATAGATATCAGAATTTCAGAATCTCGCAAGATCGTAAAATTTATTACCATATTGGTCGTCATGCATATTATATATACAAGGCAGAAATTTCAGTAAGATTGAAGCTTATAGTCTATTTATTGCCTTAGGTAATTAAAGAATTCTACATACGGAGGGGGCGTAATATACATTAATTCCTTCAATTTTGTAAATACTCAACTTATTTAATATCCTAAGGATGCGGTTATATAAGAATATATGTTATTTGAGCAATTACTTGTATTGAACTTAACGTACCGGGAAATTAAAATATAGGTACGCACCTGCATTTTTTTAATGTTTAAAAACTAGTAGAGTCGACAGTGGCCCCGCCAAGGCCGATCTTAATCAAGGCACGTGCATTTTCTGCTGTGTATATTTCACTTGATGAGTAAGAAATAATGCAAGTTTAATTTCGTTGATAGTAACTGCATCGTTTATTAACTGAAATTCTAGAAATCTCTCATCACAATGAATTTTTTAATGGGAGATATTTAAAAACAAACAAAAATTGAAGTTGGCTCCACAACAACATTCTCACAATTTCAGTTTTCAAAAGGTTCCCTTCGTATTTTCATGTAAATATCTGCGATCACATTTATCTTTTATTCCCATTTCTTTCATTGCAAAATGTAATCTATTAAAATTCTTCACTCGCTAGGCGTCTCTATCATTATTAGAAAACTCAAAGAATTAAGAATTCAAACAGAAAAACGCCAACTAATCAAATGGTCCCCTATACCTGCAGTCCTCATATATTCTGATCAACGATTTTCAGGTCGATTAGTAAATTGCACAGATTCTGTTTATGCATTTATAATTTGAATGCTTGTACAACGTCACATCGTCGTAGTTCAAGTGGCGCAAGCGATTTAAAAATTAAGCTTGAGCCATAAAAAAAAATGAGCCATCCTCAAAATACAATCGACATTTTATGCAAGCTTGAAACACGACTGGAATATTTTTCTGTGCTTAAAATGCAACAAGTAAGTGGAGCTCAATTTAAAATAGAACTGGTCGACGAGAAGTTACCTGCTCTACTATTACTGTTGGTGCAAGCACACTTGGCAAGACGCATTTATTCCCGTGACGTAGGAACGGATAAAAAAGTGGTTTTTGAAGGTCATCATAAGAACTTGCTCAAGCACCCAATAACTTCCTGTCTCTAATTGTACAAGATAAATCGAACAAAAAGTACAATAGAACATTAGGAGAAAATTGGTCTCATGCAAGTATTGTGAATCATGCAACATAAATTTCGACATGAAACTTAGTTATTTCTTAATTCCTTGCCGCAGTTTATGTTCATGACGATATGTTAAAAATAAATAAATAAAACATGAATAAATAAATTTTTCACGGCGGTTGACTGAGTGTTGTTGAACAATATTTTTCCCACAGACTAGTCGCTAGAGCAGAAAAATGTCAACAATGTTGAACACAAACATTTCTCACAAAATCCGTCAGTATAAATGCTGGTAACAGAATTTATCAATAACGTGAATTATTTTTGCAATAAAAAGTTGATTTTCCGATTAAATTTAAATTTGCGTTGATGCTTATAGATAAAATGGTAGGCTTTCATTTACCAGAGAACCTAACCCTAAAGTTAGCGCGTGGATTACTTAACATATGTATCATAACATAACATAGTGATGGAGGCGCTAAAGAGTAGGTCTGATGTGGCCTGTGAGCCGATTCTTATACTTTTCGTGACTTGTTCGCAGAAGATCTAAAATCTTGCCATTTCACCGGACCTTTTCAGGACTGGCGATAGTTTGAAATAGCTACTAGACTTCCACCTGGTCCGATATGGTGCTAGGCATTTTAAGTCTGAACATATATTTTTCCTTAAACGTGTACACATATGTAATAGGCTAATAGCTTGGTTTACATATTATAATAAGCGACCAACCTGGTCAGTTTTTTAATACGATCGCTACAGGATTAAATGCACATGGTGGCCAAAATACCAGTAAAATCTTCTAGAAGTAGGGCAACGTGGGGCAGCGCGCCCCCCACTTTTTTAAACTAAAATTTTGATGAAGTTTTAATTGATACGAGGTGGTTCTTTGTTTTGTTTAAAGGTACAACTAATGAGGAATGTATGATGTGAATTAGACGCCTATAGAGTTATTCAATTTTTAATGAAACACTATTTTGTAAAAAGTGTCAAAATGGGCCCATTGCTCCACCCCTGGGGCAATGGGCCCATGGGCTTGGGGCAAGGCGCCCACCCTTGGTTCCTTTACCACAATTGCATATTTTTCTTTTAAAAATTATAAAACAACACTTTACAGTTAAAAATAAGAAAAATGTAATAAAAAAATGACATTCATTCATTTATTATAACAACTCAAAAATCATATCCATAACTTGAAAAAAATATACTCTTGGCTTAAAAAATCTATCACTGACGTGAAGAAAAATATTTCATTGACATAACATTATATATCCTTGACTTGAAAAAGATATCTTTGCGATAAAAAATTCGTCCTTGACATGAAAAAATGTATCCTTGACTAGAAAAAATATAAGATTTCAGCCAACACCATAAAAACTCTCATCAACTTTTGGCTCATTGGTGTTGACTGAAATCAACTTTTGGCAAGGCAAGAGTCAATAACTCGAAAAGTGGTCATAAATACGCATAACTAGAAACTAAACCTGATGCCTTGAGGCGGCAAATCAAAAAATCATGCAATATGAAGTGTAATTTGTAATGCAAAAAGCTAGTCATAGTTTGAAAAGGTCACTGAGACAAATCTAATGATGTATAATACAAGACTTCACCATGGGCGCTTTGCCCCGTGACACGCGTGGGCCCGTTGCCCCCACTAGGTATCATTTCAATTTATGTCGTGTCAACATTTTATTTTAAAAGCTAATAGTCTAAACTTGGTCTCAAAATTATCCCTATAAATATTACTTTGAAAAAATGATTCAAAGTAATTTCAAAATCTTCATCTATAGTAATGGAAAAAACTTTATTTAGCGGCAAAAAAATTTTTACCTGGACTAAAACAGTTATTCGCAAAGAACTTAATAACGCGAACACTTAGCAAAACGTAAATCCGTACACTTAATCCCAGTAAAACTGTCGACCGGCGGTAGAGAACACGGACCAATATCTGCCATACTTAGCGAGAAACCCGCTATGGGCCCTTGACCCGCAGTGGGCTCGCTGCCCCATGTTACCCTATTTTCCGGAAAACGCTCGTCTCTACAGGGACGAGCAGCGCTGCTTCCAAGGTCAGAACAAAATTAAAATTTCAGCGTGCATTTAAAATAATAATCCCCTATTTGGGGCAAAATATCAGAAGAGATGCAATTTTGAAAGACAATTTGGACTTGCCAGAAGATCAATACAAAATTTCTTACATTTATTGATGGCTGAAACTTGATGCAAGACTAGTTGATGCCAATCAAGGCTGCAAGCAGAACTTGAACTGCCATTTACCTAGTAATTAATGTTTTTTGCTTAAAAACATTCTCACTGACTGAAATTTCTTAACTTCAGCATGGAACTTCAGCCATGGAACTTCAGCCACGGTTCATGGTCTACTTCATACCAGATTATGGAAATAGACAATATCAAATCTTTTCTGCAGATTGTGAAGTATGTGAAACCATTCCTACCAACCCCCTCCTGCTAGATCTATTACGACCATCAACAGACAACCACTATAATATGTGAAAAATGTTATCTCATGTTCAGTTCAGTTCAGTTCTCTCCGCGCCATAAGGCGCACAAGGCTTTGACGTCACTCCTCCACTGGGTCCGGTTTGCAGCTGCCTGCCGTGCTATGTTCCACGAGTTCCAGCCTGCTCTGTTTCTCTCCTCTTCCACCATTCGCCTCCAAGTTGTTTTTGGGCGTCCCCTCTTCCTCCTTCCTTCAGGTGCCCACCCGAGGGCCACAGCACAGTCGCTTGCTCTGTCATTCCTCAACACATGTCCCACCCAGTTCCACCTCCGTCTCCCCACCACCTCACTGATTTTCTCCACTTCTGTCATATCAACAACCGACTTGTTTGAGATGTGTTGCTGCCATCGGATCTTGCAAATCTTCCGTAAGCATTTGGTCTGAAAGATATCTAGTTTTCTTTCTTCTCCCTTGGTTAGTTTCCAGGTCTCACATCCATATAACAAAACTGAAAGAACCAGGCTCTTGAACAGGGAGGTTTTGGTCTTTTTGCTGATGTTTCTGGCTTGCCAGATGTTTGTTAGTCTTTTGAATTGCGCGCTTGCCATTGCCACTCGCCTCCTCACATCCACTGTGCTCCCACCATCTTTAGTGACGTTTGCACCCAGATATGTGAAGCTCTCCACTTCCTCCACCTCGCTCTCTCCAGCCCTCATGCTTGTTGTTGCTCCTGCGGTTGACCGTCAATATCTTGCATTTCTTGGCATTCAGTTTTAGCCCCACTTTTGCTGCATTACTTTCTAACCTGGTTGTTTTTTGCTGCAGGTGATTCATTGTTGAAGACAGAAGGGATCACGGAGCACTGAAAGTCCTCGTAGAGAGTCCTGACTAGCCGGATCAGCTTCTGAGGTATTCCATATTGGCGCATGATGGCCCAAAGGCTGTCTCGGTGTATTGAATCAAATGCCTTCTCAAAATCAACGAAGTGGACGTACAATGTAGCGTTCCACTCGTTGGCTTGCTCTAGGATGTTTCTGAGAATGAATATCTGGTCGACAGTTCCTCTTCTCCTCCTGAAGCCTGCTTGTTCCTTCCTGAGCAATGTATCCACTCCACCTTGTATCCTGTTGATGAGGATCTTGCTGAGCACCAGCTCATGTTCAAGTGATCGCATTATTGCACGGAAGCGTCCTCTGCTAGCCGCACTGTTCTCATTATGAAATTTACTGAAATTAAAATTAATGTGAGAAATTTCTGATGTATTCTTTAAACCGTGGAGAAGAGTAAGAGAATACACGATTTCGTGATGCTTATAGAACAGTTTCTGGAAAGGTATACACGTTATTCCGATTACAATTATTTCGATCAAGGCTTTCTGTGATTTTATGAAACGAGATTCGGGTTTGTTTTGTATGTTTTAAAATGGCTTGTAGGCTGTACATGTTCAATTCAATTTCGGAAAGACCTTAAACGAGAGACGCTAAAATTGTTTGCAAAATTTAGCATTATATCGTCGAAGTGAAATACTTCCTTATAGGATGAACACCTTCAACAAAGGAATTAAATCTAACCATTAAGTTTATTTGTTTGATCAAGTGAAATTTTTGCCCTCGCTGCCTTCTATCCCGTTTTTTCTGTGACGACAGATGGCTTACGATATGCCTAATGTAATTGAATAATAACTGCCTTTAAATCTTAAATTACTCATGTGATCGGGAGGTATATCTAGCAAAACTTTTGAATATTACAATCGTTTATAGAGAAACCTTCTCTTTTGTCTCCATTCTTCAAGGTAAACACTTTCTAATATAATGCATCAACTCACAGGTAATAGCCAAACTTCCACGTTCGTAATTTCGAATTCCCCACTTACCATGCCTTAATATCGCAAAGGCCCAGTTTTTTCGGCTGTTTTTTCTTTATCATTCGATCCGTCCGAATGAGACCACAGAAGTGCCTGCAAGCAAACGAGTTCCGATGAAATGAGAGTCTCTGAAATTTTCCTGAAAATAAAGTCAATGTGTAGAGAGAACAAGTCAGAATAAATAGGGAAGGAATAACTGTAAAAGAAATGAAAATTTATTGACGATCCTGTTGCACTGCGGTCTGACAATGTACTGCACGGCGGCTAAGCGATTTCGCGGCATTCAAAACCTTTACCCGCAAAAAAAAAACATTTAATAAGTTTGGCATCACGGTCATCTATGTCCTGCACTATTCTTTCATTCTGTATGCTGGAAATGCTTCTGTGCACTCAGAAAATTAAATGGATCAAATTGCCGTGAACAAATCGATCGTGAATCGTGAACAAATCCTGACCCACATGCTCATTTTACAGTGAGTGAAATTGATTTTACTTTTGTAGATTGCACTGCAACGATGCGATTGCTCTGTGGCAGCTCGATTGCTCTGTGGCAGCTCGATTGCTCTGTGGCAGCTCGATTGTTCTGTGGCAGCTCGATTGCTCTGTGGCAGCTCGATTGCTCTGTGGCAGCTCGATTGCTCTGTGGCAGCTCGATTGCTCTGTGGCAGCTCGATTGCTCTGTAGCGAGGAAACAAACAGCACTGCGGAGACACAATTGTATAGGGCGCAACAATGCACTGCACCGCAACACGCCAAAATCATGGCACATTAGTTCCGATTAGTTCACACAAATATACAATAAACGGTGTCCTGCAGGTGAAGTACACACTCGGATCTCTCTCTCTCTCTGAATAATTGATGAAAGATGCGCTAGCAGGAAATAATCATGTAGGACTTTACAATGTTAATTTTCGAGTATTGAAAAACTGTACAATGATATTTTCGCGCGTCAATTTCACTTAAACATATATAATATCACCTTCGTCAAACGTATGAAGTTAAACTTTTGGAGTGAGAAGACTAATTACCAGGTAAAAGGTGGCAGATTTTAGTATAATTTTAATGTCTTGTGCCACTCGCCGAAATTCTTGTTTCTAATATAATGATTTGTCAAATGAAAGGTGATCTTCAGGACGGATCGTTTTGTATTAAAGCTGTTCCCTATTTTCAAAAGCTTTGTACGTTAGTTTATGTTATTGCTTGATTTACGGAGAAAATTCTCAAGTCTGGGTAAGTATTAGTCATTGAGCCAACTCTTAAATTGGCAAGTTATAATGATAGGTTATAAAATAATTTGCGGATAACGTTCTCGCATCTATTTTATACACAATTTCTTGGTAAAATTTAGTATTTACGCTTGTTGATCGTCTCCTGTCACGAGGCAAGATCGTAGATCTCTAACGTAATCGAAAATTATTCTTACCTTTAACCTTGCATCTGTGATGACCTCGTGTTTAAACAGCTTTACTACCCTCCTTAAAATAAAATCTTACTTGGCAACCTAATTTGAGTTAGCGTAAATGTGTTTTCCTTTTGTTTAGTGTAATGATATGGCGTGTTCAAGCCCCTTGTGTCCAGGCCTTTGAATGTACTTTTCTGGCTTTGTGTCAGGTATTAAAACCCGTAGGGCTTTTGGCTCCCTGAAGTATTGCCGGCTTCTGCCGGCTTTAACGTACATGCTTGCATGTCTTTAACTTTGCTAAGAGTGAATACACCTTTAACTCTTTTTTCCCTTTTTTACATTCATATAGTTCTCTTATTTATGATTATCGAATTATTAAACTGCATTTTTGAGCTATAACTTGAATTGATTGTTAGATAAGCTTTTTAATCTGCGTATCTGTATTTTTTACCAGATAAGAATCCGCCCTTCCACCGCGAATTGCAACCTGGTCATCGCGGCGGCTTACTCCATTATTATCTTAACCTGCTGTTTATTCTTCACACTCTGAATACTCCTGAATTATTGCACAGTAAACACGTTCTCACGATGAGATTTTGGCAGAGAAAGACGCGCAATTGTGTACCAGTGACTCATTCCTTGTATATTCGAATATTGTTATCCTCAACCCTTAATTTCGGTACTTTTACTGATATCCACAATTTTACCCGCAGACCCAATCACTAGTGCGTTTATCAGTTTATTGCATGACCGCTGCTCATCTACTGCGTTCGAGAAAAGTTTCTTCGGTTTCACTGCGTTTTATTATTTCCGAATTCAACAAAATTCAAAATTCTCGAATATATCTTCAGGAATTAATAACGACCAACTGGATAGAACAAGTTAACGGAGAACAATCTCAAAACTTTGTTATTGTATTCGAGGAGCGAAGCCTGAAGAATAACTGAGTTTCCCCAATAACAAAATTTTCACAATTTTTCATTTTTCGCTAAGTGAATAAGAATTCTCTATAAATAAAATTCGATAAATTTATTGCAAATAAAAAAACACTGCAATTTATTTAATTTAAAAAAATAAGTTGTCGATAAGTTTTTAATAATTCGACAGATTATCTCATCAATTTAGAAAGTAGGAAAACTTTTATAGAGAAAAGTAATGTACGAGTCAAAATTCAGATTTTCGGTGGCAAAAATGCACTAGCTGTTCGTAAAAAGTAAATAGTAAAGACTATTTAAAGTTCGTATCTTGAAATAGTAAAGACTTTCAACTTTCTTTTTTCAAATTTCTTCATATCAACTGCAATGATATAAAAATGACATAAAATGCATATGATGGTGTGTTAGAGGAAATGAATCTTATCGATATAATTACTTTGTACAGGTATTCGGCGTACTATATCTATGGAATCGTGAACACGTGCATAAAATTCAATTTCACTTATTTCTTGCAGAAAACTCATTACACCCAAAATAACTAGTAGAACAATCATTTTACAATAATAAGAATAGTAATCATTTCAATTAAAACAGTGTCAACAAATTTGACGGAGTTCAGGAGCAGCGGCATTGAATACCCGTTGTAAATATTACAAAGCTCGTCGTGTGTGCTTAAATTTGAAGCGTTATTGAAACTTCAGGCGGTTCAAATTAATATTAATCGAAAATTTTCTCAATTCTTGGCTTTTGAATTAATATTAAAAAATTATTCCTGTAAATTATCACATTTATTTTTATTGTAATCTATTCTTCTTGCGAATTGCGTAGTAGATCTCCATTTCCACATCCATTGAATAAGCAATAACCCAAAGAATATTGAGACAATGAAGTCGAGACCAAATAACTTTATGAAAGAATGCCCTCGGGCAGGAGACTGGAGGTGCGGCGCCCCCTGGTGTCTCGCTGCGTACTCGGTCCAGTAGACCGCCGTGTCCAGCGGCGAGACGAGCTGGTCTCGAAATATGCGAGACAAATCCCCCATTTTGCGTCGGTAACTGATAAAAATGAAATATTCAAATTAAATTTTGCATTCCTATGAAATCTAGGTTTCGGACAATGAATGAATCATGCGATAACGAAAAACAACATTTCATCTGACGCGACAAAAATTAGTTCTACTCATGTTTCATTACATCTCTACATATTACGTTTAAGTTCTGTTAAATGCAAAAAAAAATCTTAGCAATATCATTTGACAAGTTTACACAGACAATGAAATGTATCGTTATGACTCAGTGTTAGTACGAAATTAATAATTTAACCTGGCAGCAAGAATATTAAGCATTTTTTATGCAACATGCTAAAATTATATGAAAGTGTTTACCTCGGATTAAGAATGACTTCTTCAATGGCGTTTTCCAAGTTTTTCTCGTCCAGTATGTCCCATGAAAGTAAAATGGCGGCACCGTGTTTTTGCAGAAGAAAAGCTGTTCTGTGTTGATCCAGAAGAGCTGGCAAGCCAACGATCGGCACGGCGTTCTGAATTGCCTCTACGGCGCCGCCTAATCCGCAGTGACTGACGAATGCCTTCACGTTAGGATGTGCTAAAAACAATTAAAAAATCTGGATAAAAAGGCAATTAATAAATCTATTGAGAGATCGATGAGCCCACTAAAGTGCCCATCCTTAAAGAACGTATTCAATTCAAACTGTGCTTAATGTTCATTTTTTCACGGTCTCAACCAGAACTTTCAATAAATAACAATTATGACTATATATATTTTAAAAGTGGTGATTAATAAAGCAATAATGATTAATAACATTAATTATGGATTCTCTTTTTAGATTAAAATGTCGATTACGAGGTTACTTTACGCGCACATACACTCGCACAAACATACAACAATCGGCTTAGGTTGAGCATGATAAGTAGGTGGGCTGAAATATTATCCTTCTCAGGGCTTCGCCCGCTTTATTTGGACGCAATGATGCACACGACTACATGTATTTCGGACCATGTGCCAACATATGTCAATTTATCAATATTAGTTTCAAATGAAAGGAAAAATTTTATTACGTACGTAAACACAAAGCTAGCCTATAGAGGGTTCAATGAAACGTTTGTAGGTTATTTTCAGAGTGGTTGTAATTATTAACATATCATTTAAGTTCTATTTCATTTCATGATTTTCATAAGGTAACTTTTAGTCATAGTCGTTTTTTATTGTTACTACATTGTTACTACATTGTGTTCAGTCATAGTCGTCAACTACCCTTGTTACTACATTTTGTCGTAAATACCAACAATGAAAATCACTATTGACTACCTATCTCTGGAGCAGCCTTCGCTGTTTTTGAGTGAATTTCGCTTCTAAGTCCAAATTTATGGACACTCAAGTTATAGCTATCTTATATAAGGTACGAACAAAAATTCATTCCAGTCGCCTCATGAGGGCGTAATATATTTAATACTACATATGTATTTTTCGATGGTTGCTCTACAAATTGTTTACATGTGTGAAGGTTATCATCAGCCTGGAACTGAAATTCGTTCACAGTGTCCACTTTGAACAGACAGAATATTCATGCCGTACATCTGAGAGATCAGCAGCAAATATCATATCATTCTGGGTATTTAAGAAAAATTTGTGTCATAACAGATATTAGTACGGCGGATATATTTTTTAATAGTTAAACTTGTGAATAAACTTTGTCTTTCTTAATCTGTTTATTTTTTTTTCTTTACGAGCGATGCAGATCAGGTAAGTGTACAATTTCTCACATATTTTTTTAAATCGTGTATTGAATGGAAGAAAACATTTATTGTTATAAAATTCGGTAAATAAGTTTTTTATGAGATAAAAAAAATATTTTCGAGGTGTTAGCTCTAATTCAAGAAATGTGTTGTGCCCTGTAGAATTAATGTAAATGCGTGTCCTTACTGATTACTCATTTCCTCAGCAATTGTCAGTCGTACGAGTAAAAATTTGAACGATTATAATTTATTTTAGGTCAAAGTTAGGAGCTCGTTTATCTTATAAATAATTATGTACAAATACTTATTTTTTATATATATTTATCTTGAAAATAAGCACTCACCTAGAATAGTCTGTTGAGGAACAGAGTCGACGTAAAGAACGTTATCAGTTCTTTTGTACTTCTGTTTAGAAATTTTCACGATGACTTTATAACGAAGTTTGGAGAAGACGGAAAACAATATTTTCTTGTTTTCGGGGGGGATGTTGTCGTCTGTCAGGACTGAAATCCCGAAGCTCACGTAAACTACGGGCTTTTCTCCAGAAAGGAAGTCGGCTATATCCTGAGAATTATCATATATTGAGACCATTAAAAAAACTGTAAGATTTGAAAGATATTTGTTAAGACTTTTCATGTAAAGCGGGTTAAAAATTATATGAAATTAATTCAAAAACAATATTCAATAGTGCGCATTAAACGCATATGAGTTGATACTGCCCGCAGTTTATTCCAATTAATTTTAATACTTATACCTACGTGATTTAAACTATTCATTTTTACTTCCATTTCATCATAATTATAGTTTAGTGTCATTAAACGGTCCGAGGATGAACTCAATTCTTTTCAAAATTACATGTTTTATCTATGTCAGTCAAGTGTCATAAAAGTTTTTTCGTATTATTTTATCTCACCTCAGGTAAGTCTGACAAGGGGCGCAGGACAATACCTCCTATTGGTATTTGGTTCGGAAGTAGCGGCATAGGACCATCCAGGGCCAGAATTGTATTGATGAAGTGGACGCTGGCGTTACGTTCTAGTTCAGTCAACGTTCGGCTATCAGGTACGTTTGTCTCGAGCTGAAATCAATCAATGAAGGTCAACAAATTTCTTCAGATATACCGTGTGGTTTCAATATGAAATGTAGCTTCAACATGATCACTTTCGGATCACTTTCATGTGTCCGAAATGTTGAAATGTAGCTTCAACATGATCACTTTCATGTGTCCGAAATGTTGAAATGTAGCTTCAAAATGATCACTTTAATTTGTCCGAAATTTTGAAATGTAGCTTCAAAATGATCACTTTAATTTGTCCGAAATGTTGAAATGTAGCTTCAACATGATCACTTTAATGTGTCCGAAATGTTGAAATGTAGCTTCAAAATGATCACTTTAATTTGTCCGAAATGTTGAAATGTAGCTTCAACATGATCACTTTCATGTGTCCGAAATGTTAGATCACATTGAAAGGTGATGATGAGCTATAGTTCCATGGGAACTGAATGTATTAATTTAATTTAGAATTTAAATTTAAATTTACTACTTAATTAACTTTTTTATTTTAATTTTTAAAATTAATTTACTTAACTTATTTTATTTTATTTAGTATTTTAATTGAATTCTCAACAAGTACTGTTTATTTAATTGGAGTTTGTCCATTTAGAACCGTATTTATTCGTTTGATCATGAAAATTCAAGTTCATACCACAACTTACTGTTTTAGTGGCGCAATGAAGAAGTAGACCGAAGAAAATGTAAGAGAATATATTGGTTATCAGGTTTTTTATACGATCCATCAATGAATTTGAATGAGGGAAATCGAATGACCTTCCCTCGGCCACGTAAAGAGGGTTCTGGACATTGCCGAGCTGGGCGCTCTGGTAGGCGTTCAGTGAGAGCGAAGAGTAGAGGACGTACGGCATCTCGTTGAGAAGAGGGTACATCACCTGAGAAAATACGGACGTATAATACGAGACTTGCACAACTTGTTCACGGGAATGTTAATTATACTTTCGACGAATATTTTCGTTATTAGCCAGAATTTGAAATTTTGTCAACCTCTGGTTATATCATGCGTGGCGTAGTCTGACGTATTCTCAATCATTTCGCATTAACGTTACAATTATTCCTAACGTAGATTATTCATAAGATTTCTAATCAGTTCAAATACACGTTTTTCAAATAAGTTTTGTCTCTCACATACTTCAAGAATTCGAGTTTCCATTAATAAGTTTATCAGATTAAGTATTTTATTTCGTTTCATGAATCTAATGACAACTGCCTGTTTTCCCCTGAAAAACTTTCAAAAGGGAATACAGGGACATTTATTTCTTTAAATTTAGTTCAGTGCGGATTGGGTTGTATGTTGCATACTTTTTAAATTCAGGTTAAATTTTGACGACGTCCGTGTACTCACGGCCATAGCAAAATCTTCAACAACGATGAGATCAAATTCTTTGCGACTTTTGTAGAGTTTTTGGAATGCCGCCGAAGAGCTCATCTTCTCGGCAATACCGTCTAGCGAATTAAGAATTTTGGTAAATTCAGTAACAAAGTTGCTGTCTTTGCCATACTTATGTGGTATTTGTTCGGTAATCGTGATGCCGTGGTAGATGCAAGTTACGTTTGGGAACTCGAAGATGTTCGGGTCATCGCACAGCATGGAGACCTAGGCAGTGAGATGTTCAAAGAATTTTTTTCAAACAACAATGCCTGCGATAGCGGTGAAATTTTTCATCAATAAGCGGGTAGAGTACATAAATATTTTTCGTTTTCAACATTCTGCACGACTGTTTCATTTTAGATTCCGAGACTTTTTTTTTTTAATTTAGAAGAAAGTCGTCACTCGACCAGTATAGCTTAAAACACATTACATATAAATTAATTTGATTCAATGTATTAAACAAAACTACACCCTTTTAACGATAACATTCCAAAATTCATTTGTGATCTTGCACATTATAGATAAGAAATAACACCGCAGACGCCGTTATACAATTAAAGACACTGTAGTAACACGCTGCACGACGCTTCTGGTGACGCGAGCAAGATAATTAAACTAAAATATAGCGTCGTGTTTCTTACCTCGTGCCCCCTGTGTGCCAACGCCACCGCAAGTGGGGCGACGGCCCACGTGTGGCTGGTTACAGGAGTCGGGAGCAGGAAGAGGAACTTGAAGTGTTGCTGGGGCGCTGGCAAGGAGCTGTTGTAGTACAGATCAGTTCTCTTGGCTGCGCATGTAGACGCTGCCAGCAGCAGCGACAATACCGCCAACTGCCATGATATGGCATAAATAAACGTTAAGATTTTAAAGTAAAGAAAACGTTAAAAACGTTAGAAAAGCAAAGGAAGGTTGAGCGTGACATAATATTTTGAAGCTTTAGTGCAAAGTACCAACTACGTAAATTTTACTGTTAATTTAAAATAATATGCTTTAAAAAATTACTTTTTAGAGACAACACTTCCAAAGAGGCTATTGTCTCTTGGTCTCTGATTTTACACATGTGCAATGAATTTCTAATTTTAGTTGCAAATATTAAAAAAAGTATTTCTATTTTATTTTTAATTTCAAAAAATATTTAAATTAATAAAATTATGTATTATGTCAATTGATGCAAGCACTGTCTCCAACTTGACGCAAGTTTGCAAAACTTCAGATCAATTAGACAATTAGAAGTGTGTTAAATATCGATTATAAGATTTGTAGCAGACAGACAAACAAAGAAACAAACAACAAGAAGTGAAGTTAGAGAGAAATGTGGTAAAAAGCAGTAATAACCCTTGACATGAAAGAATTTTGATGCTTTGTTCTGACTTTAATTTATATTTATAAAACTGAGACGAGCGCATACGTATGGTTTCTATTGCATGTCATTATTTACTTCCTTACCCACGCTTGAAGGGCATTTTTTGAACTTCGTTAATACTTACATGCATTTTGTTATCTGTAGAGTTATCCGGCTTGTCTGAACGAATCGATGCGGAAACTTGATTGATGTTCAATAATTAGCACCACGATGCAAATTTTAAAGCGGATACCACTTATAAAAGTTTTTCATTAGAATATTGTTAAACTAAGAAAATACATGGTTTGTTACATATTTATGTTTTTAAGTAATATCTGTAAATAGTGAAAAAATTGTATGAAAACACAAGAGTGTTTATTTGGTATTATTAGTAATACAGTATTTTTTGCACTTTGCAGGCTTTTCTACTGAAAACCAATTTATTACAGTTGTCAATTAATGACCGAATTAATTATTATTTAATTATTATTATTTAATTAATATCAATTATTTAATAGCTGTTGATAAAGTAACCGGCCGCTACCAGCCTTGGGAAGTGGTACTGACACTCTCCACAGCGCTATTTTATGTTGCTAATTAGGTGAAAATCGGTTTTGTTTTGACCACATTAAGGGTATAAATGTCTTTAAATGTGTGCATTATTGAATTTCAGCTCAAAAATCGTGAAAAATTTTGTAACAAACGTGATGGAGCAGTCCCAATACAATCGTATCAACAACGAACGAGCGTCAACCGACTCACTGAGACAATTGTGGACGGTGGTGGCTGCATTACGCTCTTTCTAATTTGTTCATGCTATGGGAGGGTGCCATGAATTTATATGTGTAACCACTTATATTTGGTAAATATTTTATAAGTTCTAAAAAAATAGTGTACTGCGAATCTCGTATCATCCCTTACATGGCGCGAGTGTTAAGCGTAGATTTTTCAAAGCTGGAACCGGTTTTGAGTTGTACAAACATGTACGACGCTAGTTCGCTGGAAATATCCGTTGAGAAAAATCATTAAATCTCTCAATTAATCTGACTTGATCAAAGAATTCAAGAAATCTGATTACGGAAAACACTTCTTCTCTGATGATTTTACAGAAATGATGCCACTAAATTCCTTGCCATGTAATGTCAGTGAAAAAACATCGGAATTGGACGGATTTATTTCGCCCGAAACGCTGTTAAAAAACTTCTGTCTCATGAAAATATATGGAAACAATCAACGAATATGCGACACTAAATTTTCGACCACAATTACATGGATTTAAATATTTTATGCTTTATTACTTTCGACATATATGAACTTCAGCAAATGGAATTCAAATACAAGCGAAAAATATAATATTTCCTTTTCTCATTCAGTTCCTGGTGGCCTTGAGCCGCTCAAAGCTTTGAAGCATCCTTGCTGTGGCAAGACACTGGAATCAAACGCAGACTTGCTTACAGGGATTCAACGTTGACTCGTGTAATAGAATTCTCACTCATAAAACCTAAGCTCTAGCACAGTGTGATAGCAAACAATACTACTGAAATAGTATACTAATGAATGAAGAGATCTGTAGTCTGAGCAATGACTACGGCACAACTATCCACGCAGAAATCACCTCCACGACTAATCGCAGAAGTGAGAAAATCCTAACGAATAATTTTTCCATAAAAAGCAGCACTTGACAAAAACTGGAGCTTGACTACGACAAGAAGACTGGATCTTTGTCCGCTCATGCTCCACCTAGACAATAATTGAAAATTATTCTGCGGCAATTGTTGAATAATTATATGAAAGTTCTTTTTTAATCTCAATATTGCAGGCAGGTGATAAAACCTTGAAGTTAATTTTTGTAACGAAAATTTAAAAAATCGCACGAAATATGAGCATGAAGCTCCCTAATCATTTCGGCCCAAATTAAGCATCAAAGGTGAAATTTATTACAATGCAATGTAATGTAATGTGATGTGATATATATGCACTGTAATGTAATATGATGTTATGTAATATAATGTGATGTTATATAATGTAATATAATACAATGTAATTTAATGTAACGTAATGTAACGTAATGAGATGTTACGCAATTTAATGTCATGTGATGTTATGTAATGGTATGTAATGTGATGATATCTTATGTAATATAACGCAACGCAATTCAATGTAATGTAATGCTATCCAATATAATGTGATGTGATGTAATGTAGTGTAATGTAATGTCATTACTAAATTAATTAAAGTTGCCTATTTTCGGCAAAAAATTGAAATTGCGAAACATTTCCACGAATTATTAGTTGACAAATGTGAACTGAAATACAATAATAGAAAAAACTAAAATATGAGTTGCCCTCAGTTTATCCGATTACCAATTATTCTAAAATAAATTGATTTCTTATACATAGATGAGACGTGCTGTGAGGAGAGATGGATGTAACTTGATGAATCAATACACTGCAAAATGTTCATGGATCAATACATTTATCAGAAAATTAGCAGCGTAAATTTTTCGGCATAAGCATTAGCATTTCCGAAATACTACTGTAATGCTACCACTATCACTATCTGAAAACTATTTCATGAAACAATATTTATCACGCCAAAATCCTGCAGTTGAATAAAAATACCCGCGATAAATGAGGGCGTCTCTAAAACATTGGACGTGCAGACAGTTTATTTCAATTTCATAAGAGCAGGCGCCCTTGCGCCTGCTCATAACAAAAGCCGAAGGAACTTTTCTGTGTAAATAGATCAGGAACATTATTTCAATGAAATCTTTGGTTTTTGTAAAATCTAGATTGGCCTAATTTTAGCGTCTTGAAGTCAAATTGTCAGTCAATTGAATCATCGATGAAGATTTGCGAAATATTTTTTGACAACATGCATTTTCTTACATTTGGCTAAATAAAAATTCAACACTCTCTGCAGAATGCAGAAAAATAAATTCCGACCTGAATACAATGCATTAACTCATTAAAGGATGAACGATAGTTCTGTAAAATTTCATACATTATTTTTCATACATCGTCTGCTGTATCCATAATTGCCTGAATTTCAAACTTGTCAGCAGAATCGTGCCCAATTATTACAGATAATCTTATCGCACCAGATTCGATTCGCTTTCAAGGGAACCTATATTATCATAATTTCAAGTCATTAGTATTCATGGGAGAATATGGAAAAAACTTCTCACAAACATAATAACCTTGAGTGAGCGAAAGAAAAATGTAAATTCATGTCCACTATAGCGACTTTTAATTGATTGCATCAACAGTTAGCAAAAACGATGGATTGGGTCTCGTAGTTCTCCACCACTAAATCTATTTCAACAATAGTGACGATTAGTCCAACTATTCACCTCAATTAGCATTAAACTTTACTTTCAGAAAGAGAGATCCTGTCTTGCTCAGTTCATGACGATGTATCTGATATTTTTCCAGTAACTGATTGCTAGGAGGTGAACATGTCGTGACTTAATGCCGTAACATTTATCTACATCAAAGTATGTGTCAGAAGATTCTTTCTTGGTATAATTTTTCTCTGGAGGTCGAATTTTCAAACTATCTTTTCTACGTATTTTAGGTCAACTCTAAAATCGTGAAGTACTCCTCAGATTTAATTAAGTGTATTCACCTTTGCTCATTAAATATATGAAACTTCCTCCCTAAACTTTTGCAACGGCCATTCAATATTGCAGTAAAATGCGTGTCCTTAATGCTAATTCCTCGCTGTTATAAAAAAGTTATCTTGTTTATTGGGAAGTTGTCTCTGTATTTCCGTAGTTAATCTTACGGATTTTTAATAATATAACTATTTCACATTTTACTTAATCTCATAAGGAATAATCTCATCCTACGCCTAAACCCATGCACTTCTCTGTATATTTTAATTTTTTCTACTATGCTTTTTTATTGGAAGAATAAAAAATTCGCTTGTAATAGTCTTGCCAAAAGCGAGAATGTCGTTTTGAACTTTCGACAAGGAAATACTAATCAACGTTGATCCCTACGACTTCGTGTTTTGATTAAGGAAAGTTACTGGATAAAATACTTAACAATAGATTCTACAACCATCTCGAAGCAAACAACCTGCTCAACCCCAGACAGCACGGATTCAGAAAACAAAGCGGAACTCACACTGCATTGGCTACACTCTGCGAAACACTCTCCATCAACCTAGCTCAAAAAAAAAAACAAAATAGACATAGTCCTCCGCGATGTCACAAAAGCATTCGACAGAGTTTGGCATACTGGCCTGGCATATAAAATCGCCCAACTAAACTTACACCCCTCTTTTACACGGACACTGATCGACTTTATTACAGATAGAACAGCCTCAATTAGAATAGGCACATATCTGGGGCCCTCATTCCCACTACACACCGGAGTTCCTCAAGGAGCCTGTCTCTCACCGACACTTTACAGCTACTACACTCACGACATCCCACCACCTCTACCAAACACCGACTACATTGCATTCGCCGACGATATCACACAGATCACAGCCGGCAGGCACACACACCGTTACGCAGCTCAACTAACAGAACACGCAATCACACAAATAAACACGTTCGAGCAGAAGTGGAAGATTGAAACAAACACTTCCAAATTCAAGATAATCCCAATCAGCAGGAAAAACACAACCGACATTTTCATTGACAACAAACACTTCCCCTACACAACCAAGGGAATGGTCCTGGGGCTCCAAATAACCACTCGCGGATACAGAACGCAAGTCACAGCAAGACAGCAGATAGCCAGAAGAAACCTTCAGAAACTTTACAGATTCGCAAACCTCCCCCCCCAACCTAAAATACAGATTATATATGGCATTTGTACGATCCTCACTCACCTATCCGCCCATACCACTGCACACTCTGTCGCGAACAGCAATCTCTCAACTTCAAAGGATACAAAACAAAGCACTCAGATTTATAACCAACACCCACTGGAGCGACTTTGTCTCATCAAAAATACTTCACGAACGATGCAACATACCCACAATCAACATCGCCCTATACGAACAGGCGCGGAAAACCTGGAACACAATAGCCACTTACACGCCCGATCTTATAAACCAACTAACTTTCCCACCAGACGCAGTAAACAAGCAACACCAGCAATTTCGAAGCTCCAAAATGATGGCATTAGGCCCTAAACCTCCAGCAATATACAAATAACACCTACCAACACCCCCAAAACTAAACACTACAGATAACCCCTCATCCCTACCACTATACACACAAACACACAGCGGACCATGCTGCACCCAGACGAAGTTGTTCATAACGCGGATGGGTGTAGCTGGTCCAAAAACAACAACACAACACTAAGCATTCACCACCATC